TTAAATAATTTTAAATCTAAAAGGAAAGTATTGTGGATATCCGGAATGCAACACTAAAAATAACAAGAAATAATGCAACAACTTTATTACAGATATATGATACAGTGTAAAGGAGAAATGTTTAAAAATGCAGCCTTCTGCGAGGTGGTGAAGATGATATTATCTATTTAAGTGTTGTCGCAACTGTAACACAGCTCGGCATTGAGCTCATTTATAGTGTTTCATGTAAAGTGATCAGTAGAGTAAAAAAAAATCTGTTTCATTCTCTTTCTTTTAAAATATTCCCTCCTAGCGGCCTGCACGTAAAATTCCACCATTCCAGAGATGCTTTTTCTGCCTTCAAGCAAGATTCCCAAAAGCGGCCGAGCCGCATTCTTAAAAATACGGCTCAACCGCTTTTGAGAACCCCACCTGAAAGCAAAAAAATATGTGCGGTGCATTTTTGAAGCATCTCCAGAATGGCAAGACTTTAAGTACAGACCGCTTAGAGGGTTAAGATTCAGCTCCAAAACACTTAGAAATACTTTGTACAAAAACAAGATGCAAGGATAGATATTCTATAAAAATAGGTGGTTGGTCTTGGGTGATATTCTTTTATGGTGATCTGGTGCTATTTATTTATTTTTTGTGTATTGTTGTTAGGTTTTAAAGCAATCCGACTAAAAAAAAATTAAAATATGTAATAAAATAATTTCATTTTTAAAAATTTAAGAAATATTTTTAAAAAACCTTATAAAGCAGCTTAAATATATGCATATTTTTAAATTTGTTTTTCCAAGTACCTTATATAACAAAAATGGCAAAATAGCGATCCACCAAGACAGTCAGAAACCAAAAGAAAATTCTCTCTATATTTGTGTTAACATATATTTGTGAGCAATTTTTTTTTACAAGAAGATCAACAAGAATAAATATAGATGCAAGTTGCCTGACTTTAACTTGCAAATTGTGATGAGAATTTCAACACGAAATATCTCTCTCTTAATTTTAAGAAAAATGTAGAAAAATAAGATAGAGAACACTTGTCTCATTAAACTGGTTTTAAAATTCAGGTTCTTGCAGTTATAGAAAACATAAAAAATTAGCACAATAAATAAATTGAACAAAACTGCCATTAAAGTATCTAACTTACATTTATTAATTGTTATATGGTACAATTTATGCCTTTTCTGAGATGTAAAGTAACTAATGAATTCAATTGTTTTAAAAAGGTGCGCCTTCCTATACACACAATAAGTCCTAGCCAAAATAATTGTCCGCCCCTGCCCCATACTATACTGCATAAAACTGCACATGAAATTTATAAAACTTTTTAAAAAAACTGTAACTACTGTCATTGACTAATTGTATAAACCATCTGTTTAATTAGTTTTAATAAGAGTTACCAACACAATTTCTGAAAAATTTTATAGTAAACATTTGGAAGCCTAAATTTCTGTATCATAATATACTTGATTACAAAAGTTCCTTCAATGAAAGCAACACCAACGTTACTTGCTTTCAACAAAATCTATTTTTGTGAAGTTTCTTATTGCAATCGTTAGCTGTCATGAATCCATCGAAGTACTCTTGACACCGGAAGTTCAACAAATATCGAAGCTATGAAGGATATAATGTACGTCCAAAAAGTCACATAAAGGATAATGCCGTACTGAAAAGAAAAGAAATACACGTATTTTCAAAAGTATAATTAGTTACCAATTATAGTAAAGACTAATGCTTCAAGGAACAAAATAAGGAATTATAAACACCGAGCAAATATATATAAAGTTCAAATGATGCACACTGCATAGTCACGCATTTTAACCTGTACATTCAAGAATCTTAAGAAGATAAAAGTTTCACTTAAAACAATTAATTTTGTAAGTCATTTAAAAACTAAGAGTTTCCAGAGTTAATGCATTTATTTTTTCGTCATATAACTCTAAGTGTTTTAAAACATAAACAACTTCAAAATGTTTGTAGAAACATAAATAATTTGTAAGCGGATTAGTGAATTTGGTGTTTTATAATCCAAAAGAAATGGAATCTGTTTAATACGCAAATGAGATAAAAAAGAAATGGAAACGGTTTATACATTTTCAAAATTACTATTGCAGCTTTTTATGTTTAAATGGTTCTTGAAATGAGTTTGTGAAGAAATTAAATATTAATTCTATTTTATGTATACATAAAAAGAACAAATCACTACTGGTTGCATGGCTCGTAATTTCGAATTTGGTTGATAGAGTAGGACGACACCTGAATTGGTTTTCTCAAAACCCAAAATACTCTTCTGAGAAATCCTATTTAACATATCCAAAACTATTTTTTAGTTTGACAGAGTCTTTAGATGAATCAGAATACGCGAAATGCCGGAACCGCAGTTCTGTTAGAACAATACCATATTATTCGCTCACGACCATAAAATATAAGCCGCCAACCCTCAAATAAAAACAAATGTAGAGGGGTGAGAAAAAATGAAAAAGGCCTTTTAAAACATTTTTTTTTTAAATGTAGTATTTTGAAACATACAGTTGGACTTCGTTGACATGGGATTCAGTTACGCTTGATCTTGTAAAACCCATGTGGCATGCAGCTTTATAAAATAGCTTCCCTACTAAGCAAATGCTTATGTTATCACTCCTAGGCTTTGTGAAGTCATAATTGTTACATTTCATTTCATGAGAATTCATATTAGTATTTTCTTGCAGACTTTCAAAAAATATATTGAAAAGTATGATCCTTGATTCTCTCTTTCAACTTGCATTCCTCCACCACCTGTTCTTTGTATTCCCTTTAAGGTAACCGACTACGTTCGGAACCGTGATTTTGCAAAAGCGTATAAATGGATAATATTTATGATATTTAGTGTTACTTAGATTAGCCTAGTGGTCAAGAGCATTGACTCATGTTTGGTGTGTCACGAGTTCGAGCTTTGTGGCGCTGAAGACCCACCATGTAAAAGGAGCGATGCACGTTAAAACTGTCGAGGCTCAAATATTCTCCCGTTGGTGTGGTGTGGGAGTTAGGAGAGAAGGATGACAGCTCAGGTGACGCCCTCGTCACTTGAACACGGCTAAAATATTACGAGGTCTGTCGCCAGTAGCCCTCCTGCAGTTTAATGGTACGACGTTAATATATTAACCTCACTCCCCCTCACATGAAACTTTAGTGTATTGTCCCAAAGTAGAAGTAAGGACAGGCAGGAGCTTTGTCCGTGGTCTCGTATTCGATACTTGATCCTAACACGAACGTAAGAATTCAATTTTCAATTAATTCCAAGAAGAACTGTTAACTCTCAACACATCCATCAATGTTCCTTGAACAATATACTACGAAGTCAAGAGTGAACCCTCTCGCAGCGTAGTTATTTTATGAAAGTACTAGGTTCAAATATGGCGTATTTCTTAAATCTACATTTTAAAGTCAAAATATACAAAAAAGTTCTGTAAAAGAGATTTTAGTTTAAAATATAGAATTAGATCATAAAAATATGAACACAAAGACATAAATGAAAACATAAACAGGAACAACATGGATGGCACAGCCAAACTGACGTAAATAATATTTACCCGCTGAAATCACGGGTAGCCCAAATTTTGCTGCATCTGCATCGCTCGTGCAAATAGTGCAGCGAGAGGGGATGGGGTGGGGGTGTTTAACCACGTTTTGAAATATTTATCAATTGCATTTAAATTCCACTTTATTTTTCTAAATTGTGAAACAAATCATGTTAAGATTTATTTAAAGTTTTAAGCAAGAAATAAAAGTACAAACCAGTGAGAGACTACTGAAAGTTTCTTCTTGTTTCGTAGATGAAAGTAAATAATGTAGTAGAACCATGAAGTTGATCAAGTTTGCAGCAAATGATAGGCGTGATAGGGGGAGAAAGATTTTGTGCGACAGAAAACGACACAAGAGACCTGAAAAAATTTTAAGTATTAAACACAAAATAGGGGAGAATTTGTTTTAAAATGAACTGGTTACAATAGCGATATCATGAGAAGTTGGGTAAATTTTCTACAAAATGTTATACTTGTTCTTTTGTATGACTCAGAATATACACAAAAGTATGGCTAATTTGTATATTGTTATTATATGTAGGCATCGCGCTACTAATAGCTGCGGAGCTGGTCTTGGCTATTATAAAATAAAGTCGAACTTGTTATATATATAAATTAAGTCAATCCTACTTAGGTCAACAAAGTAAAAATTTATTTTTAGTTACTTTTTATTAAATAAGTACAATTAATATAAATTGTGACGGGCTCACGCGTCTTTTCTGTAACATAACCTCTGGGTTCTTTGACGGCCAAGATTAATGGCAAATCTTTTCCAACCCAAATCCAAAAAGTGAAATGCAATTGTAAAATGCAAATAAGATAGCTTTTAAAAGAACAGAAGTTTCAGTAAGCAGAATGGCAATTTAGAGAAAGTTATGTTTAGAAGAGATAGAAGTGTGAATTGACGGCCTGTCAAAAGATTACCAAGATTTCTAGCCATTACTACAATGTGCATACTATTGCACGAGCGCCTAAAAGTCTCTGAACAGTGATTGAACATTAGCTTGAATCAAGGTAGGACTGATTATTTGATATTAGGACTTGTAATATTATCAGAATTGAAAGTAGGCGGATAATATAATTATTTAGATAAGTGATCCAAGTTACGCGATTAGGTTTAATTACAGTTGAGTGTTTGGTTTATTCCCACTTAATATAAGTTCATCTAATTTATTAGAAATTTAAGTTATATTCTTAATAAAGTCATATTAAGAATTTTAAAAAGTCGATTCATTTCGAGAATCCCACATCTCTAATTCACGCTGACAATCAAAGATATGGTCGCCATAGAACGACCATATCACAAAATATGTATATACATATGACAGAATCTCAATATTACAGGTGGCAAAATAAAAAGCGTTTTTCCATTTTCCGTTCTATATATGATGCTAAACTATTATTTGTGTTTGTTACTATTCATTCATTCATAAATCATATTTTCTGAAATTAGGCTATCCCAGGTAGGATTCTAACTCACGGCCATTGGGTTAGAAGCTCAACGCACTATCTATTGCGCTACAGGGATACAACGAGCAATTCTCCTTTTTATATAAGGTGTTGGGCTATTATTTTTGTTTGTTACAATTTATTCATTAACTGCACTTAATTATTGATTTATATTTCAAAGAATTATATTAATATCAAGTATCACATGCACTACAAGTTTTAAAAAATGTATTTGAACTTCAGATAATGAATAAAAAGTGTTTTATTAATGATTGAAAGTTTGAACAAGATATATATATATATATATATATATATATATATATATATGATAATGTTTATTTTTCTGACATTTTTAAAAAAAACATGTCATCTTTCCCAATACAAAATATCACTATTAAAAAAGCTTTTAAATACAATAAAAAAATAGGTAGATCAATTTTTAACTATAATGTGCCTATAAAGCAAGATAACTTAATATGTAAATGTAGTGAATTTAAAGATTTCATTGATCAACATCACAAGTATGTTGCTACTGGTGACTTCAATATTGTAAAAGACAATAATCTTAGAAACATTATGAATAAAGGTACTGGTTTTAGATTAATGATTTCGAATAATAATAAAATTATCAAAAATCAGTTATATAATGATATTGAGCATTTTATATACAAAATAGCTATTAAATATAGTATGCCTATAGAGGCATTCACAGTATTCAAAGGTAAAATTACAAAGCAGCTTAATAAATATAACTATGTTACAGATAATAAAATCTTTTTTAATATTAAAAGTCAGATTAAAAATTTACAAAATAAATTTATTATAGTTTATGTTGATAAAGTGCCAGGAAATTTTGCCTTCATATGTAAATACTATTATAATTTATTGATCAACAATTATTTCGATAATAATACAGCTTTTATTTAGTCTTATGTTTCTGATAAAGAAATAAATAAACGTATCTTGGCTTTTCATAAAAAGTTAAAAATTCAAATTAATAATAATTTTAAATTTCCACATATATTTCTTACTCCCAAATTTCATAAAGACTCATTTAAATTTAGGACAGTTACAAATGGTTTTAATACATATATCAGCAAAACAGGCAAAGTTCTCCATGAAATATTGCATGAAACAATAAATAATCTTAAATCCACAACCATTCTTAAAAATAGTAAATCACTTGTTGAAAAAATGAAAGATAAAAAAGTGTATTCAGTCTATAGTTTGGACTTTGAAGATCTCTTTAACTCTATTAATATTGAAGATTTGATTAATATACTTGTAAATTTACATAAAGACAATTTATTTAATAATCTTAATTATGATAGATTTGGTTCACTACTTAGGTTTGTACTTAAAGAGAACTATATATATCATAAAGGTAACTATTATCAGCAGATTAAAGGATTGCCACAAGGTGGCCCCTCGAGTAATTGTCTTGCCAATTTATACTTACATTATTTTGAAAGCAGTTACTTTAATAATTCTAAATATTATATTTATCGTTATATAGATGATATAATCATTTTTGGCAAACAAGCCAATTTTATACCTAACATTAATTTTTATCCACAATATCTTAATTTAATACAGACAAATAATATCAACAATGAAGCAAATTTTCTTGACATACATGACAAATTATATGAAAATGTAATAGTTTCTAATATTTATGATAAAAGAGAAGAATTTAATTTCAATATTATAAAAGTTCCTCATTGGGAGAGTAATGTACATGTTTCTATATTCAGAAATATTGTTATTAATTATATACAACGTAATAAATTTCTTGTGTCAAAAAAATCAGACATTATAACTAACTATAAACATTTTACTAAATATTGCTTAAATCAGAAATACCCAATTAATTTTATTAATAGTTATATAAATAAAGCTATTCAAAATAGTTAGGATTAAAATTCTGAGATTGATAATAGTTTATTACTATAAACTTAAATATTTTATTGTTATAGTTATCTCCAT